TTCCACGTCAAGAGCGACGCCGTGTCAAACAATCATCTTGTGTGCTGCTCGACACCAGACTATCTGCCGCTAACTCGGCGCGACGGTCGTCACCAAGCAGCCGGGAAGCTCCCGCCGGAGTGCCACCAGCTCGGAGGGCAATGGCTTCCACAGGCACAACAATGAGCACAGTAAGCACGCGAAGCAAGAGCAACATGATACGGCGTGTGAGGAAGAAGAGGATGGAACAGGCAAACCGACGAGTCCGCTGAGCCGCCGGGAGCAACGTAGGACAAGGCAACGGGTGAGGGCCACCATCCTCACCAACAATTGCAAGATCTACGGCGAGGTCGATCCCGACGCACCTCGACCTCGGCGACAACATGATGCCTGAGGCTGACATCTGCGCCGTGACGAACACTCATCTGGTGTGCTGCTAGACACGAGACTCGATCCCTCAAATTCGGTGTCATCGTCCTCTTCAAGCAACCGAGAAGCTCCTGCTGGAGCGCCATCGGCTCGGACGACAATCAGTTCCACAAGCACAAGAACAGGTAAAACGAGATTTCTACAAGGATGTAGTTTCTAAATATATATTTTTTATCACATATAATACATATTTAGATAGTTAAATCGTCAACCTAGAACTACGCGCATGACTTATTCACTGAGACGGAGGTAGTAAGATGGATGAGCTGCCACCAGGTAAAAGTAATCCATTTTCAAATGTCAATACTAGCTTTTGGATTTTTTCGTCATGTACATATTTATTTTGTGTGTGTGTAAATTTCCATGAAAAGTCTAAATTTGTGCGACGTCCTAAAAACAATTTTATTGATCACATGGTTGTTTTTGCTTGAACATTCAAAAATATTTTTCAAGCATAAGAAATAGTCTTTTTATGCAACTTTACACGTACTTGAAGCATGACTATGTACACGTGCAAACAGTACATTAGGCCCTATCAGCTTTTTTGTGAATTTATATTCCCTTAAATGAATATAGGAATTTATATTCCCTTAAATGGATATACGAGCTTGAAGATGTGCAACACAAGCAACACGAAATCATACGGCAGAAAATCAGGAAGGGCCGCTGATTACAAGTGCTTTGAACCTAATGAAAAATAAATTTCAGCATAAACTTATTTGTTTTATAAAACTAATAATATAGTATACGAATGCATAGCATGATATCAATCAATCGAGTATATCATTGATAAGGCTGGAGTACTAGCGAACTCCACCTATCTATCAATGTACCTAACCCATAGTCACCATACACCTACTTCAATGACATAGGAGTTGGAGCTTGGAGAATTAAGCAAAGTATGACTTTTAAACTGAGTTTGATGCACTCATTGAAGGGGGGTATCAGACAAATAGAAGAATAGCAAGTGACCTGACTACAACTACATTTGTTTCACAATGACAATTACAGATGGAACATGCGAGTCAGGGAGAATACCATATCTTCATGGCTAAAGAGGCTCAGAGAGGAGCAAGGACACAAGAAAATGATGTACAAACTTTTGAATAATAGCCACATCGAGGTAGCCTCCATGTTATTGATGTGCATCTTTTTTCAAGATTTCATATTTAAATTTCAAGTTTGTTATTACCATATCTACGAGATATTATTTTTTAGCCAACTTTTAGTGGGCATCACTAAATACATATTGTTGTCCCAAATATATGAAATTGTAAATGATAAAATCTAGCCGCGCAAATGCGCAGGTGGACCCATTAGTATTAGTATATTTACTAATTGGAGGCACCATACGAGGCTCTACGTTAATTCTAGAGAAACAACATTATTAACCGTAGAATTGTTAAATATACGACTGGGATTAGTGTG